TAAAGGGGAACTGGTAGAATTGATGGACTTGGATTTTCAAAAAGCAGTTGACAGGATGTCTAATAAGAGGCTATTGAACAAAGTATGAACTCATGGGTAGTGTGCAACGTATTTGCATAGACAAAAGATTGGTTGGCTTGTAGAAAAACCGATGCATAAACAGGCCTTTTACTGATTGGCAGGGTTTGACCAGTGGAGTCATACAGAGGTCTGTGCTGCAGTCTCAGGTTATTACGCTAATAACAAAAAATAAGATCTAATGGTTTTGGGGTAACATATTAGCATGGATAGAGCATTGGTTAGGTAATAGAAAGCTGAGAGTAGGGTAAAATGGATCATTTTGGGGTTGGCGACATGTAATGAATACAGTGCAAATGCATTAGCACTGTGGTCTAACTATATTCATTTTGAATCAACAACTTGGATGAAGAACTTGAATGTTTGGTTACTAAACTTCTTGATAACATAAAGTTAGGGTAAACTGTAATGAGGACATAACCATATATTTACATTGCAAGTGGGCAAAAACCAGATGGACTATAAAGTGGGAAAATGTGAACCTGTCCAGTTTGGCAGTAAGAATTAAAAAGCAGTAATTTATTTAAGTGGAGAGAGATTGCTCAAGCTTTTGGTACAGAGGAACCTGGGAGTCCTAATACTGAATCACAAATGTTAGCATGCAAGTACAGCAAGCAATTAGGATGGCAAATGGAATATTGTTGCTTAGTCCAAGCAGAATCGAATATACAAGTTGCTAGACTTAATATATTATTATACAATACATTATATTACTAAATATTATATTAATAAATTGCTAGAATTATACAGAACACTTGAGAACTATGTGTAGCTTTGGCCCCCTTACCTAAAAACGATATAAGTGTATCATAAGCAGTTCAGAAAAGGTTCAACATGATGAAGGGCTCACTTTACAAGTAATAGTTGGACTGGTTATGGTCTTATCCATCACTTAGAAGGATGGCAAGTGACCTTGTTGAACCAAAGATGATCTTGAAAGGACTGGGCAGGGTGGATATTGGGAGATTTTTAACCCTTAATTGGAGACTTGAACTAGAGGGTATAATTGAAAAAAGTATTCCGTTTAAGACAGAGATGAGGAGAATTTCTTGTGGGCAATGGAAATGTCTTCCCCAGAGAGCAGTGACAGTGAAGGCTGGATGAGTGAGTTTTTTTTATAGCAGTTAGATCGATTCTTAATTGACAGCAGAGTCAAAAGGTGTAGTCAATACAGTGTGGAACTGGAGAAAAACAGCACATTCTGATGAAGGGTCTAGGCCTGAAACGTCAACTTTCCTGCTCCTCTGATGCTGGCTGACCTGCTGTGTTCCTCCAGCTCCACACTGTATTGACTCTGACTCCAGCATCTGCAGTTCTTGCCATCTCTGAGTCAAAAGGTATAGTTAGTGGACAAAATGTAAAGTTGAGGCCCGATCAGAACAGCCATGATCTTATTAAATTGTAGAGCAGATGTGATAGATCGAAAGGCCTATTCCTGTTCCTATTTGCATGTATGTTCATAGGACGACATATTACGTCAAGTGACCATGTTTGGTCAAAAAGGCATGTATTAAGAGAGAGTCAAGGGGAGAGAAAACGTAAGAACAAAAACAAAGTTGCTTGAAAAGTTCAGTAGGTCTGGCAGCATCTGTGAAGGAAAAAACAGAGTTAACTTTTCGGGTCCGGTGACCCTTCCTCAGAACTGATGGTGGCTGGGAAAACATCAGTTTATATGCAGAAAATAGGGAGGTGGGTGGGGTAGGGAATAAACGATAGCATAGAGCCCAAAGAGAGAGAAAGACAGTTGGACAGACAAAGGAGTTGCTAACTATCAGGCTGGGAGGGTGAATAGTTGTTAATGGAGAGTGTAATGGCAGGCTATGTGGTAACAAGGCCTGGTGTGTGGCGGGGGGGGGGG